AGGTGGAGCGACGCGCGAGATACACCGTGGTGGGAAAGAACCTAGGCGCGGCGGGGAGCGCGGCGCGGGCGGCGAGCGCGGCAGCGAGCGCGAGCGACGGGCGACCCGAAACATAAACATAGTATCTCGCGCGTCGCTCCACCTCCCGCTCATCGATCGATTTTCTTAAATGCCTTCCGAATCCGGTCTACCGTCTCCTGCATCCTCATTCGCTCAAACGTGTAAATTTATTATTCGATAACTATTGTTACTTTGTACCGCGGTACATGATATTTCTCCTTAGTTTAACCCAATCTACCACTATTTTCAAGGTGGCTACTTTTGCATCAGACACCCTGTATATACAACTTAACAGTGTATGGCGTTTTGCAGTCACGACGGACTCAAGGAAGAAGGTTAGTGTACAAGTTTGATTTGAGTTTTTATTTTTCGATTGTTTCAGTATTTTTTATTAAAATTTTACAATATATATTTTATTATGTTATTGTCTCCAGATGGTGGCGTCGACCATTAAATAATAATTTTCATCGTCTGGGAGATTTTACACAGCTCTTCCAAGAACTGAAGACCAGTGATCACGAAGAATTCTTTAATTACACAAGAATGACTCCTGACCAGTTTGATTGGTTGCTAGAGAAAACGTCTCCGTATTTAATAAAACATAGTATGAGGCGTCCGTTTCCACCAGAATTGAGACTCGCTATCACTCTTAGGTAAGTTAGTTAGTCCTGTTTGTCAAGTAGCGACACAAGTTGATACACAAGTATTGTTCTATTTTTCTTATTCACTGGATGATTTATATGACTGTTTCCCTTATTATATTATTAGCTATCTTGCACATGCTGATAGCGTATGGTTGAAAAAATGGTCTTTTCGCATTGGTCGTTCAACAGTATATAAAATTATTCCTGAGACATGTCAAGCTATTATAACAGTTCTTCAACCAATATATTTACCACCTATGAGACGGGAGGACTGGTGGAAAGTAGCTGATGATTTTTACGAAAAATGGAACTTCCCTAATTGTATAGGAGCAGTTGACGGGAAGTGTGGCAGCCTACGGCAGCCACAAGCGCCGGGTCCCTCCCCGGCAATCGCGCGGTCACGCGCACCTGACGTTTGGCACCGGGCGCCCGGCCCCTGACATGGGCGCCTGGCGCCAACTTCGAGCGGTCTTGCCAATTCATAGCGCGCCGATAGAGGGCGAATTCTCTCGGGATTGAAATTTGGTGAGTACTAGTATATAAGGAAGGAAAATGCGAGCATTTTCACTTCACCTCGGCGCTCAGCCGCCACGACTAAAGCGCATAGCCGCTGTTCCTTGCGCCCTAGACGCATATACAAGCGCTGAGTCGCTCTCCTGGATTCCA